CTAACCTTTGTAATTCAGAGATTTAATTAAACTCAACCAGTTTGGAGTCAGGGGTAGGACTCCAACATCCTCGAGGCTCCCTTGAAACCTGGATATTCCATGTGACTGCCACTGAGGAGCAGATGATAATAAATTGCAAAAAAAGAAAAATGGAAGTTCTTGGAAGAAGATTAACTCCAGGGCAGCCTTAACCATTACAGCAGGCCCACTCAGAATTGCTGAGCTGGAGTGGACATGACCAGCAGGGCTGGCTTGGCTGTGATGTGATCGGGCTCTTGTGACATCACAGGGGTCGTGTCACAATGGGGGCAGCTCCAGAGGGCCCCAGCAGGTAACGCTGCCCCAGTATAGCCTGGACAATTGGTGAGTACACACGCAGGGCCGAGGCTGGGCTGCACGAGGGCCGGGGCAGAAACTCTGTCCCTGGGGATGGGTTCTCACTCTCTATGCAGGGGCAATCCCTCACCAGAACACCTTGGGCATACAATGGTGCTGCTGTTCCTGGGGCAGCGGCACAGACCTGGCTACCCACCAGCTGCCCTGGGGCCCTCTCCTTCCTGCTCTCACATCCCTGCACCTCCCATCCCTACTCCCCTCACCTTTAGCTCCTTCCCTCCCTTTCATCCACACTCAACTCCTTCTCTCTCTCCTGCAGACCATGGCTTCCAAAGTGTTCCTTTTCGTGCTTTTGCAAACCCTCATCCAGTACCCACAGCTGGCGGGTGATGGGCTGGATGAGGCCACCCGTGTGCGCATGGAGCTGCGTGCCGAACTCCTGAACAGGGAGATGACTCGGCTGCTGCAGGAGCTGGAGCAGAGCACCCTGGAGCGCACTGTCAGGGCCTGGGTTGCCCTGCTCTGGGCTGTCTTGCAGCAGCGGAACTTCTGGGCTCTGGCTGGAGTTGTAGGCCTTCTCTTGGCACTGTGGTTTTTGCGCTGGAGAAGGAGTCGCCAGCCAGACAACGAGGGCGAGGAGATGCAGGAGGAAGACAGAGAAGACAATGAATGGCTTTTAGTGCAACTGATACCTTGGCCTGTTCAGGATCTGAAGAGAGGCTGCGAAGTGACAAGAGTCCTGATGGACAACTTCATATTTGTCTTTGGGCACATCTTGTCCAACAGTTTCCACCCGGTGCCTCAAAGAGCCATCGGGGTGGGCAGTGCCTTTGAAGGGTGGAGTACCCGGGAGGAGGATGTTGTGTACCGTGTCCTTGTCCCCCTCACTCCTCCCCCAGGGCACGCCTTCCATCTGGAGATGGACACTTCGGGCCAGTTGCCCG